CCGGTGAGAGCTGAATGGTGATGGAAACGCAGCTCGCCCCTGACCGCACAGCTCTCTTCTTGCCTCTCAGCCTGCCAACGTGCTGATCTGCAGCACGTCAAGAAAAATTGGCCTGCTAGGACAAATCCGTGTTGCAATCCAGGGATGGACTTGATCCCTTCAGTTTACAGCACAGGGCACGATGCTGCGTACGTGAAGCTAGTGGCAACATCTCAAGAGTGGGAGGCAGGAGCCGGCTGAACCCAAGAGCTGCCTGCGCTTTGCCAGCTGCCAGCTCGGCGCCCAGCCCTGGGGAGCGGGACCCCCACACCCCCCGTCCCTCACACCCCCCGTTCCCAGCAGCCACGACAGTTTGAGAAGGGCTTAAATTGCAAATGCCCGTTTCTCCCACCAGCTCTGCCCAGGCACTTCCCTCCTCTAACGCCACGCTCTCCTCCTCCCCCGACAGGGTGTTTTTCAGGCGACACTACCCCTTGGCTGCCATCAGGTTTTGCGGGATGGATCCTGAGAACAGAAAGTGAGTTATCAGCTGCTCTGCAGGATGAGGGCATCCGTGCCGGTCGGAGCCGCCGCGGTGCTTGCTTCCCTGCGGTTCCCAGCGCGGCTCTGCTGCTCCCATCTCTGCACCGCTTAAAATCCCAAATCCCAACCACCGGCTGTGCAGCCCCTGCCCTGGGCTTAACGTGCTGGGTTTAGCTAAATATAAACCTGGACTTTGCAGCTGATGGAATGAGTTAAATATCACCCTCCTGAGCAAATCCAATTCTGTTCTTCCCTCAGGTGGCAGAAGTACTGCAAGTCCTCGAGGTAAGACCTGCGCAGGGACCTCCCGGAGCCGAAGCGTGCCGGTGGAAACCAGGGGGGAGATGCTGCTTTGGTGCAGCCTCGCCTCTCCTGCGGGTGCATTACATAGCTTTGCAGAGCAGCAAAGAATCAAAGCTTAAAAGTGAAGAGGGGATGCAATAAAAGTTAACGTGGTGGCACGATGAGATGTGGGACAGATAGCTGAAGCTTTGTGGGGAGTTTTGCTCTGTAGGTTTTAATGAGAGGCTTGGCTAAGCCCAGTTCTCCGCATCCCCTCATGTAGAAAGCCCCCGTCCAAATCCGTCAGCCTTCCCAGTGACTCGCTCTGGGCTCAGGAAGTGAGTTTATATCTGGCTCTACCTTGCGTTCAAGAAACTTTTCACAGCTGGGGAAGCCTTGCCAGAAACACTTCTCCTGGCTGTTTTGCTTCCAAGTAAACGTGATTGGGGAGCGGGCCAAGGTGGAATTGCTGGAACTGGGATTTTGCTTTTTGGCCAGGGCTAGTTTAAGCGTATTCCTTTGGATTCCTGAATTCAAACTACATAAGGCTCTCTCTCCTTTTTCAAAGGATCTTTGGGTTTGTGGCCAAAAGCCAGACAGATTCGGAGAACTTCTGTCACCTGTTTGCAGAGTACGACACCGTGCAGCCAGCGTTGCTTGTCATCGACCTTCTATGCAAGCTCCTGCCGGGCCCGTAGAGGACAGAAACCCTGGGACAGCTCAGGGCTGGCAGCTGCCCACACGCTGCCGAGCTTCTGCTGCTCACCTTTTCCTGCTTCTGGGTTGCATTTTGGCAACAGCTCATATTTATATTTTTTTTGTTACGTACCATCATGTCAAGAGTCTCAGTTAAAGATTTTAGACTCTGGTGGGATGAGATGTTCCTCCGAGACCCTCCACGGGGCATCGCGTGGCAGCGCTCGCCGCGGTGGCCAGCACGGGATGGCTGCCCGCAGGGAGCTGTGCCGGGCTGGGAGCGGAGCTGCGGGACGGGAGCCGTGCTCACCGTACGGATCCGCTGCCTGCCTCACCTGGCATGCACCGTCGCTTTTCT